AAAGATAGATCAATGGAACAGGATAGAAAGCCCAGAGATACACCCATGCACATATGATCACCTTATCTTTGATAAAGGAGGCAGGAATGTACAGTGGAGAAAGGACAGCCTCTTCAATAAGTGGTGCTCGGAAAACTGGACAGGTACATGTAAAGGTATGAGATTAGAACACTCCCTAACACCATATACAAAAATAAGCTCAAAATGGATTAAAGACCTAAATGTAAGGCTAGACACTATCAAACTCTTAGAGGAAAACACAGGCAGAACACTCTATGACATACATCAGAGCAAGATCCTTTTGGACCCACCTCCTAGACAAATGGAAATAAAAACAAAAATAAACCAATGGGACCTAATGAAACTAAAAGTTTTTGCATAGCAAAGGAAACTATAAACAAGATGAAAAGACAACCCTCAGAATGGAAGAAAATATTTACAAATGAAGCAACTGACACAGGATTAATCTCCTAAATATACAAGCAGCTCATCTAGCTCAATATCAAAAAAGCAAACAACCTAATCCAAAGATGGGTGGAAGACCTGAACAGACATTTCTCCAAAGAAGATATACAGACTGCCAACAAACACATGAAAGGATGCTCAACATCATTAATCATTAGAGAAGTGCAAATCAAAACCACAATGAGGTATAACCTCACACCAGTCAGAATGGCCATCATCAAAAATCTACAAACAATAAATGCTGGAGAGGGTGTGGAGAAAAGGGAACCCTCCTGCACCGTTGGTGGGAATGTAAACTTAGACAGCCACTATGGCGAACAGTATGGAGGTTCCTTAAAAAACTAAAAATAGAACTACCATACGACCCAGCAATCCTACTGCTGTGCATATACCCTGAGAAAATCGTAATTCAGAAAGAGTCATGTACCACAATGTTCATTGCAGCACTATTTACAATAGCCAGGAGATGGAAACAACCTAAGTGTCCATCAACAGATGGATGGATAAAGAAGATGTGGCACATATATACAATGGAATATTACTCAGCCATAAAAAGAAACGAAATTGAGCTATTTGTAGTGAGGTGGATGGACCTAGAGTCTGTCATACAGAGTGAAATAAGTCAGAAGGAGAAAGACAAATACCGTATGCTAACACATATATATGGAATGTAAGAAAAAAGAATGTCATGAAGAACCTAGGGGTAAGACAGGAATAAAGACAGAGACCTACTAGAGAATGGACTTGAGGATATGGGGAGGGGGAAGGGTAAGCTGTGACAAAGTGAGAGAGTGTCATGGACACATATACACTACCCAACGTAAAATAGATAGCTAGTGGGAAGCAGCCGCATAGCACAGGGACATCAGCTCGGTGCTTTGTGACCACCTAGGTGGGTGGGATAGGGAGGGTGGGAGGGAGGGAGATGCAAGAGGGAAGAGATATGGGAACATATGTATATGTATAACTGATTCACTCTGTTATAAAGCAGAAAGTAACGCACCACTGTAAAGCAATTATACTCCAATAAAGATGTAAAAAAAAAAAAAAGGTCTGATAGATATTATTTACTTTTTGGGTAGTGCTCTGAGTGCCAGAATGTGAATCCCAGGTCCCTTGTTGAACCTGGGTAAGTTAATTACTTCTCTGTACCTCAGTTTCCTCATCTGTACAATAGAGATAATCCTCAGAGAATTAAATGAATTAATATAAAGCACTGAGAGCAGTGTTTGCTACCAAGTAAACGATATATAAATGTTTTCTGCTATAATCGTCATCATCAACTGGGTCAACTCTCGTTTTACAAATTTACTGTGGCCTAGAAGGAAGCTGTTTCCTGCCCAGGGAAACGTGTCTCCACACAACTATGGCAGGAGGACTTCTCCCTGAGCCTGCTTACGTGCCAGTGCACAGAATTAGCTCAGGGTAAAAAGAAACAGACCAAGGACAACACCTTCTCAGTCCCCAGCTCTTTCACTGCTTTGTCCACGATGCTTCGGACATCCTCTTCCATTTGGTGTAACCGCAAGGCTAACAAATCTGCCAAAGTTGTGGCTTCGTTTATAGAAAACTTGACCTGATTAGGAACAAAAAAAAGGCAGAATTTATATTCCACATATATTAATGGTTCCTTGTACCTAATGGCCAGAGGAATGAAACACAGCTAAATATACTCAAGTCAGCTGCTGAGTATATTTCGAGTTCTGAAATGTGCAGACAACAAAAGACGTTGCTTTTTTTACTCAGTTACTGAGGCATCACCCATCGAAGCGAGGGCTGAGGTTTAGGCCACGTTCATACTACAGTACTTTCTTTAGTTTCATAACCCTCCCTTGTCAGCTCATTTCTTACCTCCTTTGCCCACAAAACCCATTTTTAAAGAGAATCACATTGTTCATTTATTATAATTTGGTTGAAATCCCAGGAATCAGGTAATAGCTCATTTGTCTTCTCTTCCTCAGGTACTCTATTCACTAAACATAATTCCCAGTTGCTTCCGTGCTTTAACCTAGTTTCATCATCGACTTAATCTTAGTTCCTCGGCAAAAAATAATTATTCTTATACTGTCATTATTGATATTTACCATGTGAAAAAGTCACTCACATTTCCTCATCATCTTATTGACTCCCCACTTTCCCCACCTCCGTATTTGTTAAGAAGCTCTCAGCTCTTCCTAAGTGCCCAGACTCACCCATGTCCCTCACAAATGAACAGCTGATCCCACCACACAGTTGCAAGGAAGCCATTTCCTTTCCTGCCCCTGCTAAGAATATCCAGTCCCTGCTTCTCGGAAGGTGCAGTCCTCTCTGGCTCTCCTCAATCAGTAATGTTGCTCATCACCATGCACGACTCTGCACAGGATGACTAAACCTCCCTGTTTGCCCAGGACTGGGCGGTTTCCTGGGCTAAAACCTGGGAAGTCCTGAGCATACCAGATGAGTTGGTCACCCTATCTCTGCATCACTTTTGACCTCACTCCAGAGCTGATGGGAGTCAGGTCTATCTTAGAGAAGGAATGAGCAGGGATGCGTAACAAGGCCCCCCTGATTAGCTGCATAGTTTGTGCAGTGAATATGGACCCCCTGCCCAGGTGACAACTGGAGGTTGGATCTAGTCACTGCTCTGATGCCCCAGATCAGCCTGGAGGAAGATGCCTTTCTCTAAATTGCCAGAGAACTACCTTTTCCTAGCTTGCAGAAGGGCATGACACAGGCAAGACACTGTGGTGAGAAGAAAGCTCACTGGGGCTAATGTGAGAAGGGGGCGGGGAGTGGGACACACAGTATACTTTCCATGTTGGGAGACTCAATAAAGATTTTCTGAAAGAATAAATTAATCAACTATAAAGCCTAAATATGCAATGCCTAAAAGACTCTATGGAAAGTATTATAATAAAAACTTCAGGGACCATTTATTGAGGATTTGCTATGTGCTAGGGTCTATATATAATCTCATCTCACCAAGTCTGCATGGCAGCATTATAGCATTACTTGTATTTCATAGAAGGGGCAACTGAGGTACAGAGAGAAAGTAACTGGCCCAAGATCTAAGAGATACTAGGTGTTAGAGTTGGACCAATAAAGCTTAGGCCACCCCCACTTCACCAGGCTGCCCCTTTCCTCAGTTTCCCCACCCTGCAAACTTTGTCTTCAAATCATAAGAGCCCTTCTTCATGATGTGTGCCTAGCAGAAAACACGCACATCAGGCTGCATTTTATGCATTTTAAACTCATGAAGGTCACCTTCCCCGAAAAATAAAGTGTAAGTTTGGTATATTTGCTCCTAAATAGATGTAGGAAGGCAAGAAAATATAACCTCAAATGGTACAGACACATGAGAAATAATTCTATATTTTGCAATAAAATAAAAAACCATTTGGGACTTCTCTGGTGGTCCAGTGGTTAAGACTTCACCTTCCAATGCAGGGGTGCAGGTTCGATGCCTGGTCAGGGAGCTAAGATCCCACATGCCTTGTAGCCAAAAAATCAAAACATAAAACAGAAGCAATACTTTAACAAATTCAATAAAGACTTTAAAAATGGTCTACATCAGAAAAAAATATATAAAAAAATGCATCTCTAAAAACAAATTAGAAAAAAAAACCATCAAAAGACCATCAACGAAGGATGCCATTATTAAATGAACTGTGGGGAGAAAAAAAATCACTATTTCTGAATTCTCTCTCCCCCTAAATTCACTTCTAATACTCTCTGATCCTCTCCACAAAATGTAAGATTTTTTGCAGCCATGTCATGCTCTATAAAATGCCTTCACATTATCTTACTTGATCCTTACAAGATCGCTCTGATTATGAGAGTAGATAGCATCACTCTCACTTTACAAATAAAAAACTCAAAACAGAATAGTTAAGTGTCTTACTTCAGGTCATATAGGCCAGTAAGAGATAAAAGGTTGGCGGGGGCAGGGGGTATCTTAGCCACTTCTGTCTGCTCTAACAGAACACCATAGACTGGGAGGCTTAAACAACAAACATTTATTTCTCACAGTTCTAGAGGCTGGAAGTCCAAGAGCAGGGTGCCAGCCTGGTTGGGTTGTCGGTGAAGGCTCTGTTCTTGGTTAACAGATGTCTGTCTTCTTGTTTTATTTTCACATGGTAGACAGTAGAAAGCTCTGGGGTCTTCATCCCCTTACAAGGGCACTGACCCCATACATGAGAATTCTACCCTCATGACCAAACTATCTCCCAAAGGTCCTATCTCCAAACACCACCACATTAGGAACTCAGCCTTCAACATATGAATTGGGGGCGTTGGAGGGGGAAACACATTTAGTCCATAGCAGGGGCTAAAACTAGAATATCTGCAGGTCTAGTCCTTGGTCACATCTGAAAGAGCTGGACCTCTTGCATCTGACCAGAAACCTTTTCCCAAATCCCACTTCATCCCAGTTGAATGATGTAAACCAAGGAATCACACTTCAGTCACAAAAATATTCAATTAGTGAGACTCAGGAAACTGACCCCAGTGGCCTTCATCAGCTGGTGCCAATGCCTGTCTCTGAGGGCAGGGCTCTGTAACTCCGCAATGGCCCTCAGGGAGGTCATCGTGTCCTTCACTGTGCCTTCCAGGCCTGAGTAAGCGTCCCACACGTGGACTTCCTTATCGAGAGACCAAATTTCCTAGAGAAAAGTGACAAAAAACTAGGTCCCCCAAAATAATAATATGTTTTATCATTTTCCTCCTTTGAAAGAATAAATTTACATTTCCCTGGATAGGAAGAAAGTAAAAACATTTAAGTCCCCAGGTTAAAGACTAAAACTAGAGAAACAGAAAAGGATCCACTCACTCATAAATTACGAGTCCACTGTGTACAAGCCACTTGGATACACTGGTTTCTTATTCACAGGCTCTAACTTGATGTCCCATGAAGAAACCCAAGGGTCATTAAATGTAGAGAATTAATAGAGTTTACGGGACATGTGCAATGAAGAGTGCTTCCTCTAGAAACATAAATAAGCAGGAAACTGAGATTGTTACCTGCATTACTAACACCTTCCTCGGAAGACCTGGCTTGTTTAAATGGTAGCCCTGAAATGCTGGTTACCTTTGAGTGTTTGTTCCTTGGAACTAAATAGTCATGATTTTAAGACGTGTCAAATAGGGCCTTTGACTTGGCTGTCTTCTTGGCTCACGGAACAACATAAACAATTGTGAATGAGAAAACCCCTAATAAAACAACAATCCCAGCACAGCACAAGAGGACAGTGCTACTTCTTTTAAAAAAAAAAAAAAAAGAAAAGAAAAGAAAAGAAAAAGGCAAAAATATCTTCAGCTGAGAGTGGGGGTCAAACTGTGACTCTGAAGTGAGACAGTCCACTGGGCAAGGAGACGGACAGGGCGTGAGCACAGAAAAGAGGCACAGCGACCCCAGGGCATGCAAAAGAATGATGGGCTATTCTAGTTAGGGTTCTTGGGACCAGGATAAAAAGGGAAGAAAAAAATGGGAAGAGTTGGCTGGAGTGGAGCACAGGACTGAGTCGGGGTGAGGATGTTCTGGGGCAAGAAGAAAGCAAAAGGCCTTGCTACTTCTGAACTGCCTTTCGTGGCTACGCATTTGGCTTTATCCAAACATGCATTTGGCTTTATCCAAAGAGGCTTTACTCTCTTCAGAGGGCACAGGGCCGTGGGGACTAGCTATCAAAGCACGAAATTCAATAAAGCTCAGTTCTGTTACATTGAGCCCCCTTGCGATGTTGGAGTGGGCAGCAATAAGAACAAAGATCACAGTATTCCATACACATCCACAAGTTACCCCAACTAGTTGCCCCAAAGTCCACAACCGAAAGGTACCTTTGAAGATACAGTATGCTTACAGCTGCTAGAGAAAGAATTCGACAGCTTTCGTAAGCCTAACCCCTCAGCCCTGCGCTTCACCTCCCAGCCTCCACTCTCGGCAGCCACAGGGAGCGCCTGATGAGAGCCAATGCCCATCAGTTCATTAGCCCGAATATGCTTTTATCCACTCGTTCACAGAAAGGTAGGCTTGATTACAAGTGCAACTGGCTGAGAGTGAAAAACAAAATCCTGTCTCAAATCATCCTGTTTGAAGTAAATAAGGACATGCGGTCCAGCACAGCAGACGCTAGGTTAGGGAAGATGGAAGAAGGTGGTGCTGAGGAAGATAAATCGTCGTCACAGACAGTTATGGAACTTGCCTTGGCAAACCTTCTGAGTTCCACATCCATCTGTTCCACATTAATCTGTCTCCACTGGGTTTTAGTCCAATTATCAATGCTTCTCTGAAAACGCACAAGCAGATAAAAGTGTCAACAACATTTGGTGAAAGCAAGTCTCCGCAGCAAAATATCTAAACTGATGATACACAGCAACCCCATCATCCAGGGGAAATCAATTATTTAGCATTAACTGCGCCTGTCAAAACTTCCCCACCACAAAAACAAAAAAGTTGTCAGAACGCGTGAAACCTAAGGCTAAAACACTGTGATATGATAATTTCTAGAAGCAATGACAAATTCCATACACATACCATCATTATCATTTAATCCTGAATACTCTGAATGAATTGATAAATAATGTTACCATTAAATACCATATTTTTATAATTCTACATATAAGATAAGCTTTCATAAGAAAACCTTCATCCGTTATAGACAAAACTCTCATGAGCTTCTTGACCATATTCTATGCCTTGTTAATATATTTCTTTACTGGCTTTCAACTAACTTCAAAGAAAATAATGTATAACACATATTGCAGTACGCCTAGTTCCTAGAACTTATTATTTTTTTTTTTTGCGGTACGCGGGCCTCTCACTGTTGATCCCGTTGCGGAGCACAGGCTCCGGACGCGCAGGCCCAGCGGCCATGGCTCATGGGCCCAGCCACTCTGCGGCATGTGGGATCTTCCCGGACCGGGGCACGAACCCCTGTCCCCTGCATCAGCAGGTGGACTCTCAACCACTGCGCTACCAGGGAAGCCCCTAGAACTTATTTTTGCACTTAAGTTTGCAACTTAATTAACACAGACAAAGTAACTTTGTTTTTAGTTAGGCCTGTTTATATATGCACACGTACGGAAGTATAACCATGGGTGTACACATCAGTTTGTATGCACAAGTGACCATATGTGTGTGGCACATATTAATTTTTGTTTATATCCTACATAACTCTCAAGAAGGATTTGAAGCAGTCAACTCATAATACCAAGTTTCATTCAGAATGGCAAACAAAAAGCACTGATAATTCAGAGATATCTGAACTCTAATTCTGGGGAAAAAGTCTAATACCCACATATTTTAAGACATTATAAAACCCAAATAGAATGACAGAGACACTCAAAATCGCATACTTATACAAAAGAAATACTAAAAGAAAAAAAGCATGCTTTCAAAAAGCAGTGTCTTACCTTAACATAAATAATGACATCCCAGAGCCCCTTGAGCAATGTTATCTCTCTGCGACACTGCTTCATTTGTTTGTACTCTGGAAGAGCCACTTCAAAAAGATGAGTAGATTCTTGCATCTGCAACAGTTCTTCTTCTAACGCCCCAAGCTCTTGATGTGCCTAAGGAGAAAACACATACACACGCACACAAACACACTTAATATCCAACGAACTGCCAGAGAAGAAGAGCCACAGCGTTGTGTAGCTCTGGTTATGTCAACTTGTACAACTTCGATTTTTAAAAGAAAATAGAAAGAAATCTGAAGTGTAATTATTGGTAAAATGGGGGCTTTAGAGGAGCAAACTCACAACTACTCAAAAAAGTTAGAGTAGACTATCAGTAAACACAGTAATGTTATCAATACCCTCCCTATACATTATTTCAGCAAAATGTGCTCTGGTATCAAATTGCTATGAATACAAATTTTCCTCTTGATTTTCATCATACAGCTGGGGACAACTTTGCTGGGGAGCAAAAGACAAGGTTCTAGAAACTTCCACTTAAGAATAAATCACTTCTTTAAAAAAAAGAACTTTCAGATTTAAAACATACCCTAGAGATTATCAATACACAGACTTTTCTCTTAATCTGTTAATATGACAAATTATATTCATTTCCTAATGTTAAACATTTCCCTGGAATGAACCCAAACTATTTATAAATTGGATTATTTGATTACTTTTTGCTTAGTTAGTTTGCATCTATGTGTACCAAAAAGAGTGGCTTATCAGGACTTCCCTGGTGGTGCAGTGGTTGAGAATCCACCTGCCAATGCAGGGAACATGGGTTCAATCGCTGGTGCGGGAAGATCCCACATGCCGCAGAACGACTAAGCCCATGCGCCACAACTACTGAGCCTGCTCTCTAGAGCCCGCGAGCCACAAATACTGAGCCCACGTGCCTGGAGCCCGTGCTCCGCAACAAGAGAAGCCACTAAAATGAGAAGCCAGTGCACAGCAAAAAAGAGCAGCCCCTGCTCGCAGCAACTAGAGACAAAGCCTGCGTGCAGCAATGAAGACCCAGTGCAACCAAAAATAAATAAATAAATTTATAAAAAGAAAAAAAGAATGGCTTATCATTTTTCCTTTCTCATACTGTCCTTTCACAAAAATAAGACATGCTTCATAGAGTAATTTTTGAGTGTTCATTCTTCTTCCGGTCTCTGGAATCATATGAATGATATCTGTTTCTTGAAAGCTTCTTGGAATTAACCTGTAATGCTATCAGGGCCTGCTGTTCTTTCTGTTTTAAATTAATGGTTTATCTTTTCATTTTCCTACTGGTTAATTTTTCATAGTTATAGGACTATTCAGCTGTGGTCTTTTTTTAAAATTAATTATTTTTGGCTGCATTGGGTCTTCGTTGCTGTGCGCAGGCTTTCCCTAGTTGCGGCGAGCAGGGGCTACTTTTCGTTGAGGTGCGCGGGCTTCTCATTGTGGTGGCTTCTCTTGTTGTGGAGCACCAGCTCTAGGCGTGCAGGCTCAGTAGCTGTGGCTTGCGGGCTCTAGAGTGCAGGCTCCATACTTGTGGTGCATGGGGTTAGTCACTGTGTGGCATGTGAGATCTTCCCGGACCAGGGCTCGAACCCGTGTCCCCTTCATTGGCAGGCAGATTCTTAACCACTGAGCCACCAGGGAAGTCCCTGTGTTACTCCTTGAGATAGTTTTAGTGAATTATATTTTTCCAGAAATATATCCATTTTGCTTAAATTTTAAATTTCTTATTGATTGTATTCTACAATCTTTTGAATTTCTGCTCTTTCTGTACTATCATTCCCTATTTATTCCTAAGATCATTGATTTTCCAACAGAGATTTGTCAGTATAACTAGCCTTTTCTAATTATATTGAGAATCAAATTTGGCTTTGTTTGTCCTCTCTTTTCTTATAATATACAGACTGGAACTTATTTCAGTGATGATTTATTGGTGGTTAATGCACTATTTTTGTTTATCTGAAAATATACTCTTGTTAATGAAATATAATTTTACACAGGAGAATTGGGAAAAAATCATCCACTACCTTTTGGCTTCCATTGTTGCTGATGACAAATATGCTCTTAGCCCAGTCATCATTTCTAACAGGTAATCTTTCTTTTCTATCTGGTTGCTTTAAAGGTCTTCTCTTTGCCTTTGGTATTCTGTAGTTCATTGTGATGTGTCTAAATGTTGACTTTGTATTTATCCTGGTTGGCAGTCAGTGAATTTCCTCAATCTATTGATTCATGCTTTGACCAGTTCTAGAAAAATCTCAGCTACTACATCTCTATTGCTTGTCTAATATTCTGTGTATTCTCTCTTCCAGGAAGTCTGAGTAAAACAGTTAAACATCATTCTAACTTCTTACTCTGTGTCTCTTAATCTCTTTTGTATTTTGCATCTCCTTTCACCTATGTGCTGCCTTCTAAGTGAGTTCTTCCAATGTCATTTGCATTTCACTAATCCTTTTTTCAATTAGTTCTTTAACCCCTGCTGAGTTGTATCTTTTATTTTTCATTTCCATAAGTTTCTGACCCTTTTTCAAACTCAGCTGATCATTTTTTTTTTTTTTTTGCGGTACGCGGGCCTCTCACTGTTGTGGCCTCTCCCGTTGCGGAGCACAGGCTCTGGACGCGCAGGCTCAGCGGCCATGGCTCATGGGCCCAGCCACTCTGTGGCATGTGGGATCTTCCCAGACCGGGGCACGAACCTGTGTCCCCTGCATCGGCAGGCGGACTCTCAACCACTGCGCCACCAGGGAAGCCCCAGTTGATCATTTTGATAGTCTCAAAACTGAGAACTTGCTCATTTTTTTCAATGTTAACTTTTATTTCTTGAATACATGTCTTCTTCTTTTTTTTTTTTTTTTTGGCTGTACCACATGAAGGATCTTAGTTCCCTGACCAGGGATCAAACCCATGCCCTGTGCAGTGGAAGCACGGCGTCCTAACCACTGGACCACCAGGGAAGTCCCAGTAAATGTCTTCTAATATCTGACATTTCATATGGGTCTGTATCTGTGGTTTGCTCTTTCTGTTGGCCCTTATGCATGAGAGTGTGTTTGTTTTACTGTAAACTCAAATTTAACTGAATTTAATCTGTTGGACCCCTGAGGAGATTAGAATAAGAGCACCTTATTCTCTTCTACCCAGAGAAGATTTGGATTTGCTTCTACTAGGTGCTAAGAAGAGCTGCTTGTAACCATATCAGTTTCCTGGCCTGGAAATTCCTTAACCATAGGGGTAGTATAAAATTACACCATAACCCTTGGGAGAACAGACTTATGTTTACCAATTCCCAGAGGATCCTTTTCTATTTTTTTCGCCCTATTCAGAGCAAGGTCTGATGGGTCATCTCATAGGCTCCCTGTGCAGGCTGCAGATTTTTCCCAGCCCACCCATTCACTAAAGCTGTAACCTCTTAAAAGCATCTCCTAGTTTGCCCTGAAAGGGTTAATCACAAAGTTCTAGAGTTCTGGTACTTTGATTTGCCCCTACAGCAGCACAGGCTTTTATGTTTCCCACTGCTTTCCATCCTGGTTTCAGCTACTCTATTTCCCTGCCTCTTGCTTTCTTGGGAGATCAGCAATAGATTTAAAGTTACATATTTGTGAACATGTTTCAGCATCTGTTTTACAAGATGGATTTTCAAAATGTCTAGTCAACCATGCTCCCCAGAGCCAACAGCCCTTTTATTTATTTTAAATTATTTTTCCAATTAGTTATACTAATTCAATTATTCCTAGAAATATAGATCCAGTTATTTTAATTCAACTGTTCACTGTATCTTTGGCTATGAAGAAACAATAGCACATAATATAAATTTACCAAGGTATCAGTTATAAAAGGAGAGATTTACTACACCACTCCCAAGTTCCTGGAGGGTCAATGGTTTCCATCTTTTGGAGTGAGGTGCCTTGAGTGCTAGGACCTACCATACCTGCCCAGAACAAACATATACATGACTTTGGTTGAATCTAGTTAGATAAACACTAGATATGCTTGCTGAACAAACACACAAGAAAATGACTTCAAGATAAAGGTAACCGAGTCCTACTATATTCAAAACATCCTCAACACATTTTGTAGGTATGATAAATATCGGCCTTTTAAATATGTAACTATATGGTGTTATAGTATAGCATGCAAATGGTAGGAGTCAATAAATGATAACTGCAGTAAATGTTTACACACAGCACATTGGTTAGTCAAGTAAAAATGTCTCCATATCCACAATCTGTTCAGACCACCTGCAGTTTAGATATAATCTTTTTTAAAAAACCAACTCTATTCGCATACTCTAACCAACTCCCTTTTCAGTGAATATATTAACCACTTTTCTTTAGCCAAGTGAAAGAGAAGACCTCATGCTATTGAATGGCTGAAAGCAGTTAAAACTAAATTCAATCCAAAATTTGGAAAGAGAAGTAAAAACTGTCAGTTCCAAGTTTTACAGCAGTCTAAGGAGAAAAGGCTATCTCCAGCATGAAGTCAAATCAGGATGGCAGCCTAGATGAACTCAGAAAAATTCCCAGCCCCCAATGCAAACTTCAAAGTCACTTTCTCATTTTGGCTGCTAGGTTAAGAATTCTTAGAGAAACAAAGATATTATTTTTCTAATAAAAGTTTAAAGCATTTTTTTAATCCTCATGAATTATTCACCATTTTCGGATTATTTGCCTATTACGGTCATTCTTATAGTCAATTATAAAAAAGTAGTTCATTATAACTAGGATTAAATGACTCAATAATATTTGTATCCAGAATTAAGAATAAGTTACAGGCATTCATTTGAAACTCCCTGAAACACTAGCCACCTCCAGAAAACCACATAACACATACTTGGGGAGTGGGCGTGGGGGCAGATACAATGTGTAGTCGGGGGTCAGGGAGAGGACACGGAATCAGGCCTACGGAGAAAGTATAGGTTGAGGCAGTAAACATAAATCAGAGAAAAAAAACGAAAAAGTTACGGGCTTTCATTACTATGAGTAAGAGTTACTAACAAAGTATCACATGGGAAATAGTATAATGGTTAGTATTCCTCACTAAAAAAGAAAGTAAACAGCTAGAATTTTAATACTGATTCTGTCACTAACTTATCTCCAACAAGTTACTCAATTATACATGATTGTTTATCTAAAAAAAGGCGAATAGAAGCTGTATCAGAGAGATATTGCAAGAACTGAAAGAAATAATGTAAATAATATGTTTAATAAAGTTCTTGACATATAAAGTGTTTATATGTCAAGAGAAAAACAAATATCGTATATCAATGCATATATGTGGAATCTAGAAAAATGGTACAGATGAACCTATTTGTAGGGTAGGAATAGAGACATAGATGTAGAGAAGGGACATGTGGACACGGCAGGGAAGGGGAGGGTGGGATGAATTGGGAGATTAGGTTTGACATAAATACACTACCAGGTGTAAAATAGATAGCTAATGGGAACCTGCTGTACAGCACAGGGAGCTCAGCTCAGTGCTCTGTGATGACCTAGATCGGTGGGATGGGGGGAGGGTGGGAGGGAGGTCCAAGAGGGAGGGGATATATGTTATACATATAGCTGATTCACTTCATTGTTACTTAGATAAAAAACTAACAGCAGAAACTAACACAACACTGTAAACCAATTTTACTCCAATTAAAAAAAAAGTAAAATAAAATAAAGAATAATAGTATTTGTTAGTTTCACTAGTATGTGTACTTTGATGATGACATGATTTAAATCACAATATAGTTTCTGGAGAGACATTTAAATCACAATATATTTTACTTGGGGAAAATTGTTTGTAACTGGGTTTTAAATAGTGCATTCTCAACCCATAACTAATTGCAAAACTAAGGCAAAATATAGCAGTATCTCAGTGTCCAAATTTATTTTTTGAAATAGCTATTATAACACACAAGATAATTGAGATCAGAATTACCTTATCAAGTACTCCATATGGATTTTCTGCATTAAAACGAAGAGGAGCATAGAGTCTGAATCGCTCTCTGAACTCTGCCTGCTTCTCCTGATCAAGGAAGAAAAAAAACTGAAAGTGAATCTCAAATAGCTTCAATTAGCCTTATAAAACCCTTCTTTAAAAAAAAAACCAAAAAAACAGAAAACCACAAAGCTTGTTAGCTAGCTTACATCAAACAAAATACATTTTTTCCTTATAAGAGTGACTTTTGCATTTTGGAGAGGTGAGATTTCATGTCTGACAATTGCTGCAATCTTTTTGGTAGTTTTCCATCTTTCAGGTAATTCCTACAAAAACAAAGGTGCAAATGGGAAGTTACTTCAATACCTAAAACAAATGTACTCCACAGGATTAAATTTTTCTAATCTCTTTCCACTAACTCATGACATCCTTTCATTCTTGTCTAAGAGAAAGAGTTTATTCCCAAAAAGATTAAAGGGACTAAAAGGCCTAGAGCCAGGCTGAATCCCACTGGCACCTTTGGAGTCACATCTTCCAAGCATAAACCAAAGCTGTCCTCTGGTATAAGATCTACCTCAGCATAAATGAAAACCTCTTCAAAATAAACAGAAATTTCCAAATTGTTTTACTATTGAGGGAATAACATTAAAGTGCTCTGAAAATGACTTTGCTGATCTAACAACTAGAAGTGGAGCCATGTTTAGCAATTTAGCAAGCGAAAAAAGACGCTCTGAATCTGGTGGGCAGAGATGAAAATGTGACTCAATCTTATCCTTCGTTTTCCTCTGGCTCCCAAAGCTGTGTTTTTACTTGGTCTGGATGGAGAGTTTGAACATTTGGGTTAACTTTAAATGACTAGGATTTTTGAAGTAAGATGAGGAAAGGGAAGGTTAATTCCTACTTGATGGAGGACAAAAGCAGCCATGAATTGTTCAGGTAGCAACTCAACTCTGCTGTCCCTGACTACAATGCAACTAGGACAACAGCAACTTACTTTCTTTGAAGAGCCCTTGTGCTTAACTGCTGTTGAAAAGCATTCCTTGTGTCCAGACTAAGAAAGCATTGTTTCTCTGTGTCATCTCTCAGGACACTGAAATTGTTTCGTCACACAAAACCACCCATGGTGATAGGACTCTACTTGTGTCGCTGAAGCACAAAAATCGGTTCTAAAGACTATTTTGTAACCCTGATAAATATCTGATGAACGATTTCGTAACTGCCAATTATGAAGAGTGCGCTGTGCTAAGTATAAATCGTATCTGAGTGGTGGAGGAGGGCTACAAAGATAAAACACATTCTTGAGATTTAAACTGTTGTATCATCTGTCGGAGTGAATGAGAGGTACACAAAATAACTATTCTACATGACAGAATGTATTAACTTCGATCAGGAGGTCTATATGTTATGGAATTAAAATGCTTGGGAGGCAACGTGGTATCACGATGGCAATACACGACCAGGCCAGGAACTAAAAGACTTGAGCTCTAAAGCTCCTTGTTTTTCATCTTGCTCTTCCATCCTTCTTCTCATCAAAACTCTGCATCCTCATCTGTCCAGAGTGTCACTTTGCATTTCCAATTGACCCCATGGAACCTAAATGTCACAGGGAGTCCCTTCGGGGCCATGGGAGAGAAGACTTGAAGAGGTCACATCAGTGGGTTCAGGCTCCTTAACCTTAACCTTCTTCAATGACACTAGACCTGCTGTTACCTGCTTTATATTTGGGGATTCCAAAGAAGCTTCCACTGGATAAAAATAAACCTTCACTGAAAACCAAAAGATCAGATGACCTCCAAAGTTGGACTGGTACTGATCCACTCAAGGAACGAACACTGCATCAGAGGTGCAAAACAATGACTGGATTTCTACAGGCAGAGATGAGGGTGAGACCCCTCAACATCCCATGAGGTAAGATTTCCAATGCAGGATGGGGTGAGAGTGTGGGCTCAACAGAAACTGGACCGGATTCTGAGGCTAGAGGCAGTCAATGAAGGTTTCTTAACAGGGAAGGGACTTGATAAAATCTATAGATCAGAAGTATAATCTAGCTTCAGAGCACACTATAGATAGGGTGTGAGGACACAGCCATGCCTAGGGGCTTTTTTAGCATCAAACCAAGCACAGGCAAGTTTTGGGAAATGTTATGACTGCTAATGATTATGAAGGAGAAACAGCAACTCTCACAAATTGCTTAAATTAAAACAAAATTGGGACGTTGTTATCCTCCACGAGCAACCTGAACTGCCTGTATATCTTATTTTTCCTCCTGACCAGCCTGAATTACCGACATCGAGACACACACAGAGCTAGGAGTGTGGCTCACTTCTGAAATATTGAAAAGTCTAATATTTTCAATACTGCAAAAACCTTAGTGAGCCAAACTTTTATTTTTATAGAAAAAAGGCAGAAGAGCACATTTGCTTTTATTCATCTTGGAAACATAAAGAGTCCATTAGAAAGCATATAAACTAAGAAACACATAAAAGATTTTTAAATCTTCCACCTGACCACAGCACTGAAACTGAATACATACACCTCCATCTTCATAAACAACTAAGACAATAGTCAGAACTAAGTGACCTGATCAAACATGTCTGCATCGTTACACTCTCCTAATTAGCTTACTATTGAACAATGTATACAAGGTGTCATATGTATCAGGAAAATTTGTTAAAGACCTAAAAACAGAAAACAGAAATGACTGGAATCTAGCTTTAGTGAAGTGGGAGCCAAACTTCTATAATACAAATTCTGGAGGCCATGGCCATAATCCCCCATCAATTACTTGTGTTATGACTGGTTTCTCTATATGACATAAAATTTTAAGGTTCAAGGTCTGACTCAAAGAATATCCCAATCTTCCTAAAAACAGACATTTATAGTGTGCTCTACTGTTGACTATTTCACGTCTCACTCTTGTTATGTATCTATCCACATCATCTCTCACTCCATGTCTAACTGGATTTTCAGTTCTAAAGACAGTTTTATACTTAAACAGAATCTAATGATTCATATATAGTAATTCTTTGTAGTCAAGAGAGCATCTATAAACACATTGTTGCACTTCATCCTCACAAAACAAAATGAGGAATATAAAATGGAGCAGCTGCTGTGAAAAACATTTTGGTGGTTCCTCAAAAAGTTAAACTTGGAATTCCCATATGACCCGGCAATTCCACTCCTAGGTGTTTTCCAAAAAGATCTGAAAACAGGTACTCAAACAAATATGTGTGCACCGATGTCCACAGCAGCATTATTCACAATAGCCAGAAGATGAAAAGAGCCCCAATATTCCTCAATGGGTGAAAGGCTAAACAAACTGTATATGTGTGTATATACACACATACATACAAACACACACACACACACAAACACACACACATACAACGGAACATTATTCAGCCATAAAAAGGAATGAAGTAGCGATATATGCTACAGCGTTCATGAACCTCAAAATCGTCATGCCAGGTGAGAGAAGCCAGATACAAAAGGTCACACATTGTATAATTCCACTTATGTGAAGTATCTACAGTAAGTAAGCCCGTAAAGACAGGAAAGGATCAGCAGTAGCCCCAAATTGGTGGCAGGTAGTAGGGGAGGAGTGGGGAATGACAGCTAATGGGTATGGAGTCTCTTTGGGGGTGAGGAAAATGTGCTGCAACTAGAGACAGGCAGTGATGACACAAACTCCTGAACGTACTAAATGCCACACACTTTGAAATGGTTACTTTTACGTTATGTGAACTGTGAATTTCACCTCAATTTTTTTAAAAATGGGGAACTGGAGACAGTACAGACAAATTTAAAAAGTGAGGGATCTTGAGGGATATTTTACCGAAGAGGAAGCATGCTCTGAGGCAAGCAGATGAGACGGACTAGCAGAAAACAAATCTAAGTTTGAGTTCCATGCTCTAATCACTGAACTAGATAGAATTCAATAAAAGCTCTTTAGTTAATGCGTCCACTGATCACATTGCAAGGTTAAACCTAAGCTCACCCTGGAAGTTGGTGGATGACATAAACATATAAACTACCTACAGAACCTCAATATGGGCATGGGAATAGAGCCTCAATTGTGAGATTTTCATTCGTGATTTCAGTTATAACTACAAAGACTTTGTACACTGTTTGGCACACAGCAGCCACCAAGTCATTCCAGAACACGGAAAGAGGAGGATGACACAGAAATCCTGTTTAGGAAAGTGATTTCTCCAGCCAAACTGGGCTTTACTTATTCTTTCTTAACATGTCCATGATATGTTTCCAAAGACTAGGTCACTTCTCAACTGACAGGCAATTTAAATGAAAGAGAGCTGGAATTTGTTTCACATGTGAAAGTGATGATATAAGTGGAACCCAAAAGAGTAACTTAGAGGCTCTCTATGACCTGAATACCTTCTAACACAAAGGCAGTGGAGTACAGCCAGGCAGAGCGAGGAAGTGGGCATGAAACACCCCTAGATTCATGTGGGCTGGCTTTACTACTTGTGTGACCTTGAGAAAATTACTAAGTCCCTTTAAGCTTCAGATTCCTAAGGTGTAAAATGAAAACATTAATATCTACAGTATAGGGTGTTATGAGGGTGTCATAAGAGAGTGCATGAGAAGAACAGGAGATGCTCAGTTTATGGTAATCATGGTTATTTTAGCACCTCACTGACCTCTAGCTGAGCATAGACCTGCTCAGGCATCTTCTGGCCATACGTTTCCAAGAGTGTGATGGTTTCTTTTAGTGGTTCAAAGAGTTCATCAGTAGCTCTCTGGCGGCTTCTTACAGCCAGAAGATGCCCCATAATGTCAAGTAAACCATCGTGATCGCCTTCACTTAATTCTCTCTGAAGTCCAGCATCTGTCTCCTTTATAAACTCTTGTAGCTCATTCAGACTATAAAAACATGTATACACACACACAAACACAAATTAAGCTCATTAAAACATTCAGAAGTATGACTTCTGACTGAATCTAATTTTCACTATTTACCTAATTAAACATTACTTGCTATCTCTCTTACAGAACTGGCAGTTTTAATGCTCTTAAAATTAATATCTCAATTTTAAGAAGGAGTCAGGTGTTAAAAGTTATCATTCCAAATACCAAAGACTACCTGTCAATGACAAATCTCAAAAGATGCTCCTGAAACATCCAGCTCCATTTCCTGATAATGTTTAGCAAGCTCACTTTGAAAGGCTTCATGTCCACCTTGAACCAACCATCAAACACTCTGAAGTCATCAAGCTTGCTCATCTGAACATACAAAGCCTCATAAATGTCAATCTACAATTAGAAAAAAAAAATAGTCACTGTATAACAACTCAATCAAAAGCTAGTAACTACATAAATGCAGAGGGTTTGCCTTGCCTCTTCTTTGAATTGCTCGAGTGTTGGTGGTTGTCCGGGAATGTCTTCATTTGCGTGAGGCCCTGTCTCCTCAGATGACACAGTATGGCCATACAGGAGGAAGCGCTTCATAAACTCGGTCCGGTCATCCACCCAGAGGTAAGCGTATGTGTCCAGGGTGTTTCTGAAGTCCAAGACTTTGTTGATGACGTCTGCCACTCTCTTCATGATCTCCTGCCTGACCTCCACCAGGCCCAGCACATTGTCCATATCATTCTAAATGAGGGGAGAACCAAGCACTTATGAAAGCCAACCCTGCTCTATCAATTATGTGCAACCTAACATTATCCAAGGCCATTCTTCAAAAGAATAGTTGGTAAAATCAAAAACCGTGTTGCTTTTCCCACTTCTTTCCTTGTGCTCCCCATTACCCCAATTTATTTTGAATCATTAATATAAAAGCTAATTTTATAATTAATCATAATTGTAATTAATATATATGTATATGTATGGGCACTCAGCATTCAAATGACTGGGTAGTTGAGTAAGCACATTTTTTTTGAATCCTGGGAAGTTACAACCCTCTATATCCTTCTCTGTCTTTTCATCGGAAATATTGCTTCTTAATATTTTCTCTTTTGCATTTATATATCTAGGAATGAGGCATTTTCTTTCATGTGGCTTTATCCTATTTTAAAGAGCTGTTCTAAAATTTCTGGTTTTCCTGGCTGCCTCAGGATCTGCTCACAGCATCTTGCTTTTACGTTAAATACAAACAAAATTAATCATACTTGGTGTAAATACAGCAAAAAACAGTGGACATTAGAATGGAGAACACTAGAACTCAAAATCGAAGTATATTCAGATTAAAAGCTTTGGAATTAGCTTGGCATTTATTTGTAACTCTAAAGAGATGTGCGAAATTGGTTAACATATATGTAAATATATTGAATTTTTTTAGAGTAATATTTCCTGTTCAGTGCTGATTTCTTTGGATTCTGTTCTCTGAATTCAGTATTCAGTAATACTACCAATAAACGTATTTATAATCTCTTAATCTATTAATATGTATATACTTCACAATAAATGTAATACCCATTTACAAAGAACATACCTGGTAATTTGCTATTTCCAGATGTGCTGCTACTCGCTTCATCTGGGCAGACATTCGGAAACTACTGCACAGCATTTCTTCCACCAGATCATAGAAGCCATCCCCAGCCTCTCTTTCTAAAGAAGGTTTAAACAGAATCTCCGGGGGCATTAAGATCATCTGTGCTTGAAAAAACGGTGCAGATTCCAGTTGTTTCTCTGTGTTCATCAGGAAGAAGTCTAAGTCATGCATTATTGCTTGAAAAAAGCCTTCCACCACGATGTCATCAATAAATTCTACATAAATCTTCCAAGCATCCAGAGAAGGAGTGGCTCTAAACAGCATCCTATTTTCCTACAAACAGACAAGTATTAATAGACCAGTACAGACAACAGTGAGTATAAAAACAAAAGCTGTCCATTTAAATGGCTTGTTAAAGGGGCTACATTTGGGGGCACAGCATAGAAACATTCAAATGCTTAGTTGCAGAATCTTAACCTAGACGGCAATGATCTAAGCAGGATTTTGTAACATTTAGTTCACTTATAAGATACATTCAAAAGTCATTCTTTAAAGATGCTACCAGAAAACTACTAGAGCTAATCAATGAATTTGGTAAAGTAGCAGGATACAAAATTAATGCACAGAAATCTCTGGCATTCCTATACACTAATGATGAAAAAGCTGAAAGTGAAATCAAGAAAACACTCCCATTTACATTGCAACAAAAAGAATAAAATATCTAGGAATAAACCTACCTAAGGAGACAAAAGACCTGTATGCAGAAAATTATAAGACACTGATGAAAGAAATTAAAGATGATACAAATAGATGGAGAGAGATACCATGTTCTTGGATTGGAAGAATCAACATTGTGAAAATGACTCTACCACCCAAAGCAAACTACAGATTCAATGCAATCCCTATCAAACGACCACTGGCATTTTTCACAGAAGAGGAACAAAAAATTTCACAATTTGTATGGAAACACAAAAGACCCCAAATAGCCAAAGCAATCTTGAGAATGAAAAATGGAGCTGGAGGAATCAGGCTTCCTGACTTCAGACTATACTACAAAGCAACAGTAATCAAGACAGTATGGTACTGGCACAAAAACAGAAAGACAGATCAATGGAACAGGATAGAAAGCCCAGAGATAAACCCACGCACATATGGTCACCTTATCTTTGTAAAGGAGGCAGGAATGTACAGTGGAGAAAGGACAGCCTCTTCAATAAGTGGTGCTGGGAAAACTGGACAGGTACATGTAAAACTATGAGATTAGATCACTCCCTAACACCATACACAAAAATAAGCTCAAAATGGATTAAAGACCTAAACGTAAGGCCAGAAACAATCAAACTCTTAGAGGAAAACATAGGCAGAACACTCTATGACATAAATCACAGCAAGATCCTTTTGGACCCGCTTCCTAGAGAAATGGAAATAAAAACAAAAATAAACAAATGGGACCTAATGAAACTTAAAAGCTTTTGCACAGCAAAGGAAACCATAAACAAGACCAAAAGACAACCCTCAGAATGGGAGAACATATTTGCAAATGAAGCAACTCACAAAGGATTAATCTCCAAAATTTATAAGCAGCTCATGCAGCTCAATAACAAAAAGACAAAAAACCCAATCCAAAAATGGGCAGAAGACCTAAATAGACATTTCTCCAAAGAAGATATACAGACTGCCAACAAACACATGAAAGAATGCTCAACATCATTAATCATTAGAGAAATGCAAATCAAAACTACAATGAGATATCATCTCACACCAGTCAGAATGACCATCATCAAAAAATCTACAAACAATAAATGCTGGAGAGGGTGTGGAGAAAAGGGAACACTCTTGCACTGCTGGTGGGAATGTAAATTGATACAGCCACTATGGAGAACAGTATGGAGGTTCCTTAAAGAACTACAAATAGAACTACCATATGACCCCGCAATCCCACTACTAGGCATATACCCTGAGAAAACCATAATTCAAAAAGAGTCATGTACCAAAATGTTCATTGCAGCTCTATTTACAATAGCCAGGGGGTGGAAACAACCTAAGTGTCCATCATCGGATGAATGGATAAAGAAGATGTGGCACATATATACAATGGAATATTACTCAGCCATAAAAAGAAACGAAATTGAGCTATTTGTAATGAGGTGGATAGACCTAGAGTCTGTCATACAGAGTGAAGTAAGTCAGAAAGACAAAGACAAATACCGTATGCTAACACATATATATGGAATTTAAGAAAAAAAAATGTCATGAAGAACCTAGGGGTAAGACAGGAATAAAGACACAGACCTACTAGAGAATGGACTTGAGGATATGGGGAGTGGGAAGGGTAAGCTGTGACAAAGCGAGAGAGTGTCATGGACATATATACACTACCTAACGTAAGGTAGATAGCTAGTGGGAAGCAGCCGCATAGCACAGGGACATCAGCTTGGTGCTTTGTGACCACCTGGAGGGGTGGGATAGGGAGGGTGGGAGGGAGGGAGATGCAAGAGGGAAGAGATATGGGAACATATATATATGTATAACTGATTCACTTTGTTATAAAGCAGAAACTAACACACCACTGTAAAGCAATTATACTCCAATAAAGATGTAAAAAAAGTCATTCTTTACAGGTGAAATCATTAAGAAGATTGCTATCTTCAAATATTATGCACACAAGAAATACACTAGTTCCCAATGCATCCTAGATGTATGGGGCCTGGGCTCTGGTTCTGGCCCTGTCCCTGACTCTCTGTGGCCTTGGACATTGCCTGCCCTGGCCTCACCTGTAAATGAGGTTTCCCAAAGTGGTCCTCCCAAGAACGCTGTTCTGGGATATCTAAAGATCACCAAGTCAGCAAAGAGCTATGTGTTTTAGGCCATTCTTGGAGACTCACAGTGTACCTATTATGTTAAAGTCCATTTAACCTGGTTTAACCAATTGTCTCCAAACACAAAGATATTTTGTGCCAACCACCTATAAGCAGCTTGTGGAAAAACAGTAACTTGGCTTGGGAAACACTGGCCTGGTGAAGTCCAGGCTCCCTCTGTGCTTCAACAATATGAAAGTCTTTGACCTCAGCATCTCCCTAGCATGTGGGTAAAGTAATGGATGGGCCAGTGGGCATGACAGGGCCAGACACGGACATGGTTAAGGACTGCTAGAGGTTGGGCACAGTGTGGCAGGCCTAGGGACAGCGATTTGAAAAGGTCAGGTAAGCAGCAAGGTTGATTCCAGAAGTACCTTCTGAGTGGCAAAGGTTACACAGTCTATACAGGCCAGAGGGCAGATGCCCAAGGCAGAAACTACTATAGCACACAGAAAAGACGACACTAAAGTGGGAGCTGATTATAAGGTAGATTATGCTCTCTGCTTTCTGTGATTATTCACTACTGTGGATATATGATCCAGGATTCAAAGGTGTGTGCTACAGGCAAGAATCAGAACTACAGAGGTGAGTCTGGATCCTGATAAAGCAGGGCAGAGATGAACAAGTTCTTTGAGGGTTTTTTGTCCTCAAACAAATCTAAGAACTGCTCTTTTCAGGGATGCTGTCTTGCCTGCCAACCACGTGGAAGCATTCCCATCTGTGTAGTGTATGTGACCCACACCCCTGGCGCTGGGCAGTACACATCCCAGGCAGCTGTACACAGCAGTCCTGGCTCCGTTGTAGGAGCTAGTTTAGGGGTTTGAAGGGTGAAAAAAAATCCTCAAAGACTATCTTGTTCAGGCTCTTCATCTTTAAGGTATAAAACAAAGACCTAAAACACATCCAGCGTCACATTCATAGGAAGTAAGCAGCTGAGCTAGAACTAGAAGCCTGTCCTCTTGACTCCCCAGAGTAGGGCTCTTTCCAACATATCACAGTAATATACCTGTGATTGCCTCACTGTTCATACTTTCTCATACCAAGAGATCCAGCTTATATCACTACAGTGCCACTTTTAAGAAATTGTTGTATGTTCAACAATCTAGGGTAAAGGGAGGAAAAGGAAAAGAAAGGAGGGCTTTGGGTCACTACACGATCGCTCGGGTCCCTTCCAGACCCAATCTTCCACGGTTCTGCCCTTCTCTCTTCATCTGAGACACTGACTGCAGACCATCCACAGAGATCCTACAGCCACAAAGGATGCAGCATGAAAGGGCAGAACTCACACACCTTCTGCTGTGTTTCTATGTCTTTCCCCTAAACCACATTCCTTGCTGGAAATCTGAGAACCAAGCTCAATTTCATGTGCTGATAAGAGGGGGAAAAGTCACTTAAAAGATAACTTACAGAAACAAATAATCATTTCATCTCTATTTTGAAGTTGAGTTCCCTCAAGTTGGAAGCACTCCACAGGTCTAAGTGACTTCCAAGCTTCTTAGTTTTTGATTTAAGGGAAAAAGAGTCCATTTACTAGTAGAAAAATTCCAACTTTATTCTCCGAGAATACCACTGCAAAACCTTGTTTGTAACTATTTCTAGTCATGTACTGGCAATATTTTCAATGCATTATAATCAACATTCATATATCTTACTTGTCTAAAACCCCCAAGTTAGTGTTTAGGGAGCCCACTTTCCTATTATCAATAAAATGTATCAGAAGAAACTAATTGTAATCCATCATCTGTCCTCCATGAGGCAGATTCCAATGCATAAACACTTGTAAGGATGTCCTGAAAGTCGCAGAATAATTCACAGTCATCTCGGCAAACTAGGAACAGTCGAGGTCATGACTAAGTTAAGACATTGCTGAAAAAACAACTTTCCAGATATATACCTTCTTTACATATCAGAACACCCCCGAGATTCCCTCAAGGCTACCCAGGCCTTAGGGGGAGCCTTCAGAGGGAGCGTGGCCCTGCCCACACCTTGATTTCAGACTTCTAGCCTCCAGACTGAGAGAGAATACATTTCATTGCTTTAATACATCCATTTGTGGTACTTTGTTATAGCAGCCCAAGGATGCTAACACAGGCAGTCATCTAAGAAGGCAAAGTCTTTGTCCTAGCAAATTGTTACCAGTAGGGAAAATTAAAACTTTCTTACATGTTTCAGACAAACTTGGAAGTCAACAGAAACTTTGAAATCCATATGAATTCTTTTCTTTCTTTTCTTCTTGTGACACATACTCAATACAGCATATCAAATGTACCACATCTTACTTTTCGGTGAGCAAGTTTGTTACTCTTCAAACCCTTTCTTCACACAATTGCAATGCCAGCCTATGCAAAAATCTGCCCTTGGGCAGGCATCTCTAACTAATGTGGCCAAAAACAAATCCTGTCTTTTCCCTGCAAAATCTGCTCTGCCATAGCCCTCCCCATATCAGTAAAGGGAAACTCTATTCTTCCAGCAGCCCAGACCAAAAACATCAACGTCATCTTAACTTCTCTCTCCTCTGACTGATCACAGCAAATTCTCTTGGCTCTGCCTTCAAAATACATCCAGCATACGACTGTTTTTTATCACTACTGTCTGGACCCAAGCCATCTTCACTTAGCTTACAGACTCATCTCCTAACGGTCTCCTTGTCTACCATCTCCTGACCCCCCTGTAGTTTACACTCAACAGGGAAAGCTTCTGAGCAGAGAGTCTCCAGCTGCTATTTTCCCTCAGAGTAAAACCCAAAGTTCTCAAAATGGCCTGTTGATCCAGTGGGATGTACCCTTAAGCCCTTTCAAACTTCATCGCCTACTATTATTCCCCCTGGAAATTCTGCTTCAGGCATGTTGGCTCTCTAACTGACCCTTAGACAAGCGACCCATACTCCTACCGTAAAGCTTGTGTACTTTGATACCTAGAACATCCTTCTTCCATTTCCCACCTAGCGCATTCCCTTTCAGTTCTCTGCAGAAATGCTACCTTAGTAAAGAGGCCTTTCTAACTACCTCATACACAGTGTCCACCCCACCTGCTACTGCTTCTCTACCCCACCATCTCTGCTTTATTTTTCACCATTGCTCATGTGACCGATTGAAGATACTACTATATATTTGTTATTTCCTCTATCTTCCCTAACTAGGATGTAAGGTCCAAGAGGCAAGAGACTTTTTTGTTTTATGCTTTTGTTTCTCTGCCTTCTGTTCTTTGTTCTTGTTGTTTTATTTGTCTTCTCTTACACTGATAACCCTGGAATAGTGCCTATCACTGTTGTAAAAACTCGAGTACTTGTTATAAGGAGAGTAACTACTGTTGCCACCCTCAGGAGATGGCTGAAAGGGTTACAGGAGATGAGGTAAACAAGATGGATGACACATAGAGGCATTCAGCAAAACAGGAGATAACTATGACCAAGGTAAGGACACCATCTCTAGCCTTTCTGTTTCATCAAAAGATCTCACATTCCTATCTCTTCCCTCAGAAATGAGCACAGCGAGGGCCACAGAAATTACAGACAAGTAACACAAATTCCTCCATTTGCAATGCTTAACAAAACCATACCTAAAGTTCTTTTGGGCCCAGAAAAAGGGCCCTCCATTATTAGGTTACCTATTTTTGCTCTTTTCTAAACTAAGTGAAAGGATCTGCTATACATTTCGAAGCCTTTAAAGCAAGTACCTCAACCAAGTTGTGTATCTTGCAGCCACCTTCCTGGATTAGCGTGTATTTTTTCGTAAACAAATCACCCTTGTCCTCCCAAGTCAAGGCGGTCTCCCGCCTGTGTTCTCTCCGGGGAAGGAGTGTGCACTCCACCCAAGCCCGCATCGTCTGCTGAATCACTTTGACGTTGTTCTGCGCATGCTCCACTCTGCACTCCAACTCTGAGGTGGCCGTCTTCATCCTCTCGATGTCCCCCCAGCAGTCATCCTGCCATGTCAGTGATGTGGCGGCTGCCTGCAGTTCCTCATCCACAGACCTCAGCTCTTCCTCAACCAGGGGGTATTCAACTTCCAGAAGAGTCTGTTTCAGCTTATTATATCCTTGCACAAGAAGTTCAAGATTTCCAATGGACTGATTCAAAAGAAAACCCCAAGACAAAAAGGGCCACATGTGTTAAAGCTACTTTCTCTTGGAGGCATGGAAGTATCTTAGGTCTACATGTTAATAATTAAAATTCAAACTTTCTATTCAAAATCCGCCCTAATATCTGAAAACACAGACCTTTAAAAGAGTGTTTCTTTTTTTGAAGATGGCTAAGGCTGAATCCGGTATGTCTGATTTCTTCAACATCAAAAGGTATTTAACTTCTCTTAATACGGCCACTAGCTATTAAAAGAAAAGCAAGGATTATTTAACATGATTTAAGAATATCATTCTTTTTTTTTTTTTTTTTTGCGGTACGCAGGCCTCTCACTGTTGTGGCCTCTCCCGTTGCAGAACACAGGCTCTGGACACACAGGCTCAGCGGCCATGGCTCACGGGCCCAGCTGGTCCGCGGCATGTGGGATCTTCGCGGAAGGGGGGCACGAACCCATGTCCCCTGCATCGGCAGGCGGACTCTCAACCACTGCGCCACCAGGGATGCCCAAGAATATCATTCTATTTTTAAAATCAAACGCTTAAATCTTCATCCAATGATTACAATATTTTCAAACTGTCAAGGCAAAGGGGCTTTTGTTTCCTATGCTTTTTAAAAGCAACAATCATACATTCCATATTATGCAGAAGTATAAATAATAAAGGTAGAAATCATTGGCTATGGCCCACTGTCAGAGAAAGAATTCAAGCCATAAAAGAGCAACATATACACGCCAAGATCTGAAATGGGTGGCCATAAGCCGACCTCAGTCTTTTCCAAACACCGCTAGCTCTATAATAATGCTTGTTTTGAAAACACAACATGATTATACATGAGGGAGGATTGTGAACATGCCACAAGTTTTGTCTTTGCTTAACTGTAGTTTCATCAGCAATAAACAGCTAGGTAAATGCTAAAAACTGCAACCAGCTGAACAAAAAGGCTTAGGAATATGCAAAATGCTCATATGCACACACCACAAACATCCACCAGGTACCTCCACTCATAGGTGTGTGATGAGCCAGCCCATCCAACTTCTGGTGGCCCAACTTTCTGTCTGGTTTCAAATGACCTTCCTTCCACCACCTCACAGTAATGCACAAGTCATAACGCACTTCCCTGAGCAAACTTCAGGTCTTTGTCAAGGGAAAGTACTATATTCATTGGAGCATTTATATATTACTTGACCACTTAAAATGTATAAAACTATGCTACTGTTCTTCCTAAGTTCTTTTGTTTTTCTGTTTTTATTGTTATTTTTTAATTGGAGTATAGTTGCTGTATATTATGTAAGTTATATGTGTACAATATAGTGATTCACAATTTTTAAAGGTTATACTCCATTTATAGTTATTATAAAACATTTACTATATTCCCCGTGTTGTACAATAATATATCCTTGTAGCTTATTTTATACCTAATAGTTTGTTCCTCTTAATCACCTACCCCTATGTTGCCCCACCCCTTCCCTCCCCCCAGGAGTAACCACTAGTCTGTTTTCTATATCTGTGAGTCTGCTTCTTCTGTTATATTCACTAGTTTGTTGTATTTTTTAGATTCCACATATAAGTGATATCATACAATATTTGTCTTTCTGTCTGAGTTATTTATTTTTTTAAACGTTATCACTGACAAAGTTTTTGAGTACTGTGCCCTAACCCTCATTTTCCCCATCAGCAATGTACTTTTTATTGTGCAGTCTTCCATAGTGCAGTGAATTTTAGGAATGCATATGTCGTGTTGTAGCAAAACTGACTGTAGCCCTAAATCACAGTTTCTGAGGAAAAGACCACATAACATGCTTTAGAAGGTAAACCAGTTGACTTCCTTAGGCTGTCACTCCATAGGTTCACTAGTACAATATATTTGGTATATTTATAATCCCTTCAGGTAAAATTGTAGGGATTATCCCTAAAACATCTCAGGAATTCAGTTTCTATAAATTGGTTTTATGAAATCAGAAGGTAAAGCAAACCCTCAGTCCTCCAGGTCACATATTTATATACCTGAGCTGAGGTTAATAAGAAAAAATAAGTGATGCAATTCTTTGTAATATTTCGGGGGAAGAGAACAGAATTTGAGTACAGACTGTGACTATTAAACTCAGTGAGGCTAACTTTCACCTCCTAGGCATACAGCTGGACTGCCATGAGACAGGGCAAGAAAACCTAAGCCAGAAAATATCTGATCAAAGACTAACAATTCTGTTCAATTGAGTTAATATTTATTAAATGTTACCAAGTGCCAGACACTATGTTAGACACACAAAACACAAAGATGAAATCCAATGGACCCTCCTCTCAAGTAACTCATTATCCAGTAAAGTGGGAGTGGCAAATAAATAGTTACAAGACAAAACAAGAAAGAATAATTAATATAGAATTTGATAAGCAAATCCCTAAAACAAAGACCTATTAGAAGTTGTTTTTAGTTATAGTCCTCGTAGCACTGACATTTTCCCAAAATAAAATACAAATGAATGGAGGTATGAGGAATATTCTTATAATAAAAAGGGCATCTATGAAACATTTAAAAAATATCAAACCCTTACCTTTGGGTCAAAGTTGACATTGAGAAGACCACTTACGGCACTGAATTTAACCAAGGGTTGATTCAAATTCAATTCACAGATTTCATCCACATTACTTTTCCATTCATTATAGATACGATTTTCAAACTGGTCTAGCAAAGCTGTCATTTCAGTATACTTCTGATAAATCCAGGAATCATCAGGACTTTCCAAGAATCTGTAGGAATATGTTTTTTATTTTTTACTTTTCTATACATTAGATAGATCTCAGCTTAGCTACTTTACAGTAATATATGATAGAAATAAGAAAGTACACTATAAAAATCAGGAAGAAAATCAATAAAGGTCAAATAATGCTTCTGCATAGTCTGTGCCTTAAAAGATATGAAATAAATGGAACTCCAAACATTTTACTAAATGCAAACAGCAACAAGTTATCAATTCCTACAAAGAAGAGAAAAAGATACAAAAGTCTGCAAAATAACGGGAGTGCTAGCTATTGGAGAAAGGCAAAACAATAACAAAAAGCTATCAACATATTGTGGGTGAAATGGAAAAGTGAAAAAAGACCTAAAAACATGGAAATATGTGAAGTTCTAAGTCCTAAACATACTCCCAAACCATGGGGATAAATCCCTCTCAATGAGCCCAAGCAATGACAAGAGTTAAGTAAGGCAGTGACTCTTTAAGTGCTAAAATGAACAGCTCACCACCCTATATAAAAATTGCCTGTGTCGAAGGGATAACGTTACCACGAAAGAATCCTAGCTACTTACAGATCACGAAGAGATGCAAAGTTTGACCAAAACATTTGAAGTCGGTCCATGACCTCTTTAGCCCATGTGATATTTCCTGAGGTAAATGGCATATTCTTGTTAAGGACTACATTTCCTTGTTCAATCTGCAAATTGATATTGTGGTGAAGATGATGAAAGGGAACATTTAATCAGGGTACACTCCAACCTTGTAGGCAATTGTTAATTTTGGAACATTTACAGTACAAATATAAAGAACATACGTGCAAAGTAACCTGATTAGTAGAAGAGTTACTGTCCTAAAGCAGGTTCTTCATATCCATAAGGAAATCAATTACATAAAAGCATAAAAATTTTAGGGCCTGTATCTACTCTTCAGTTATCATTCAGTGGAGCTCTACTTGACACCCTGACCCACAATATGAAACTGTGGGTCTGTCAGACTTTATCGCCCCCCCACTCACCTGTTGCACATGTTCATTATACAATTTCTTACACATATCCAACTCTGCACTGAACATGTGCACAAGTGTGCTGTAACGTGGGCTGAAAATTTCCATGACAACTGGTTTCTCAAGGAAATTCCCAAATACAGTCAAAAGCTATAAAAATCAAAGTGAAAGAAAGGTTAACCACCATGGGTTTTTAATACAAATACTCGATTCACTATTTCCTCTATTAAACTTCCTACGTGACTAGATACAAAGCAAAAATCTAGATCCCTGCAAGTATCCTGCAATGTCTTCAGACTGAAAACACTTTAGCATCTCACTAAAATTTCTATGCATCCAGTAAAGCAAATTCTAAATGTAAAGCAGTTTCCCTTCCTCAGCAGAAAATGAGGAGTCAGAAGCAAACCACTGTCTGTTAGAAATCCCTGATCACAGCCGACACCCCTACTTCCTGTTGGACATCAGGAAACGTTGTAGAAGATGCTTTGCAGATTTAAGAACAGAAGCAAGATTGCGTACTTCTTATTTGCTCTTCCCTCCTACACATATACTCTTTAGAATAAGGAAAGCCGTATCAAGGACCTCTAGGTCACACGTTAATAATTATACTGTTATCCTGTGATAAACCATAATGGAAAAGAATATGGAAAAGAATGTATAACTGAATCACTTTGCTGTACAGCAGAAATTAACACAACACTGTAAATCAATTGCACTTCAATAAATTTTTTTTAAAAACATACAATTTGAGGAGAAAGAGGAAAGCTATAAAATTCCCAGCTGTTAAAAAAAAAAAAGAAATCATCTTCATATTTGCTAAGTGTAATCTGCTGTATGTCCTCTAGACTTAGATTTTCTGTTTGCCAAGTAACATCTTATGGAAAAATCCAAACGAACTTTTTGGCCAACCCAATAAATCAACTATACTTCAACTATACTTTTATTTTATAAAATAAATTTTAAAAAAAGTTACACCGGAAGCGTCAGTCACAGTGACCGTCCTGCCCATGGCCTCCCATGTTTTGTACCACAGGACCCAGCTACCCCCAACACAGCAGCTGGGGCAGCAGTGGCGACCTGTTCCAAGGACAAGCACTCCACGGGCTGACAGTTCGTTCAGTGTCAAAGTACTGGCTGAAACCAATGCCTTGAGATAATTGCAGTCTTTCTCAGAAAAAGAATGAGGGCATGGCAGGCTGAACCTATGCCGGTAAAATTTACGAGTGAAAAGAACCTACAGTTGAACCTTGACAAAACGAGCTTGAAATGCGTGGGTCCACTTTTACACAAAACTTTCTCAATAAATACACTGGTAAATTTTTTGGAGAACTGCGACAATTTGAAAATTGTTCTCAGACGAGACAAACCACACTGCCAAGAAATATCAAAAAATTTAAGAAAAGGTACGTCATGAGTGCATGAAATATATGTAGATACTAGTCTATCCCTACATAGGTATAAGGTGTTATTTAAAATCAAATTAATAATGTGTTAGTTTTCTTACTGTTTTATAACTTTGCTTTCAAAAAATTACACTACCATACAGTATGCCTTTCTCTCATAATTGGAGAAACTGAATATCACCCTATCATCACAGGTGGTTTTTTTAAAATAATGTTTCCAATATTATATTAGAGTATGACTGTAATACTCTATGCCATAAAAATTTTATAATGATTCATTCATTAGTGTATAGGCTAGGATCCCGTGAAACAACCCTATTGATTACACTAGGCTACCATAAAGCAATCATATTGCTGCTGCTTTTTATCAATGAATCATTATACCTGTAAATAAATATGAATTTCTTTTTCACATTATCTTTTCATTTCTTTATGTCTCGTGTTAGTAATACATGTAAGATCTACAGTGTTTTGTATTGTGCAAGGCAATATTGATGTAGGTCCTGATGATTCATCTTGTAAACAGATGACATAAACTCACGGGATCGATGGAGTACAGTCTTGTAAAGATGTTTTCTCTTCCTTATGATTTTCTTAATAACATTTTCTTTTATCTAGCTGACTTTATCATAAGAATACATTATATAATACATATACAAAATATGTATTAATCGAACGCTCATTATTGGTAAGGCTTCCGGTCAACAGTAGGCTACTGTTAGTTAAGTTCTGGGGGAGCCAAAAGTTAAACAGTGATTTTCAACTACATAGGAGGTCAATGCCCCTAACCCCTGCATTGTTCAAGGGTCAACTGTACTAGTGAGCAGAGGAAGCCAGTGAGTAAGGGGACAGAAAAAGCAGACACGTGAACTAAAACAGAATCACATGACCAGTAAGGAGAAGTATGTAGTTCCAGAACTCCCTCCGCTCGGTCATCTCAGAGTAACCCTGACCCCCTGTTTCCACAAAGCTGAGCTGTCTGGTGAGCCTAACCTTGGATTTCTATTTGCCTCCTGTCTTGTCTTCTGCCCCACGGGGATTCTTCTGTGCATCAGTGTGAGACAGCTTTCTTTGCAAACAAAATAATGTAATAAACATACATATTTTTGTACAAGCAATGTTTATAGAATGCTGACTAGGTGCCAGGCACTATATTTTAAGGGTGTTAAAAATGCTATTGTTATCACATGCTCCAGATAGGGAAAGTGAGTTATGGGAAGGGGATAACTTGCCCAAATTTTCACAGCCAGTGCAGAGTTGGCATTTGATATGAACACTGGGCAGTCTGGCATCAGAGCCTCTGCTGCCTTGTGTAGGAACTCATCAGCCAAGGTGCCATTTAAAATTGCTATTTTGTTATTTACTTACTCTATGTGGGCTTCAGAAAATGTTAGCTATTCGGTCTGTTATATAGATATTTTCTCTGAAACAAAAGGAGATAGTTTCTCAAAATAACTAAATATCATCAAGGTGACAGAAAACCATACACTAAGGTTTGTGCCTTGTTAGTGACGTGACATGGCAAGAGAAAGAGCTTTGTTCTTCCTCTTAGAAAACTAATGGGTGTTCCCCCAAATTTGTTTTTATTAAAAAACAGCATCATTGTAAATAATTTGTAAACATTTCCAAAAACTGTACTTACTAAAAAAATCAACACAAGGAAAAAATTATACCAACTGAAATATAAATCTAACCATATCTTAAGAGGCCAGTTTAGACAAACACACACTTGCTTTTCTTCTGGTAATATTAATTATACCTACTGTAGAACTGTTGGTGGGAATGTAAATTGGTGCAGCCACTATGGAGAGCAGTATGGAGGTTCCTTAAAAAACTAAAAATAGCTACCACGTGATCCAACAATCCCATTCTGGCATATATATCCACAGAAAACTTTAACTCAAAAAGACACATGCACCCCAATGTTCATAGTAGCACTATTTACAATAGCCAAGACATGGAAGCAACCTAAATGTCCATTGACAGATGAATGGATAAAGAAGATATGGTATATATATATATATATATATATATATATATATATATATACGATGAAATATTACTCAGCCACAGAAAAATGAAATAATGCCATTTGCAGCAACACGGATGGACCTAGCGATCATCATACTAAGTAAGCCAGACAAAGACAAGAATCATATGACATCACTTACATGTGGAATCTAAAAAATGATACCAGTGAACTTATTTACAAAACAAAAAGAGACTCACAGACATAGAAAACAAACTTATGGTTACCAAAGGGCCGAGGGATTGGGGAGGGATAAATTAGGAGTTTGGGATTAACATATACACATTAGTAAATATAAAATAGATAACAAAGACCTACTGTATAGCACAGGGGGCTATACTCAATATCTTGTAATAATCTATAAGGGAAAAGACTCTGAAAAAGAATATGTATATGTATATATGTGTGTATATATATATATATATATATATATACACACACATATAACTGAATCACTTTGCTGACCACCTGAAACAAATCAACTATACTTCAAAAAAAAATTACTGTAGAAACTACTAAATATTTAAAATCTACTTAGCTGCTACCTAGCAAAATGCAAAGTATTAACTTTCTTCTTACAACCACTGTTTTGTTAACTTTGGACTTGATGTTAACATTCTGAAGTAAACATTGCCTCATAGATTTCACAAAGAAGTATACTCCAACTACAGTAGGGAAACATATTTATTTCACAACATTCTCTTTCAAGCCCTTATCATATCAACCGCAACTGGAACAATACCAGAAGCTTCCCAGCCACATCTCATTTTGACCACCTGATACGCTTAGTGGGACTTAAGTCCAAGTGTAAAATAGGAAAGACAGAGAGAAAATATTCTTTGGGGAGGTTGTAAAGCCAGAAAGTAGTAGTAAACAGAGTCTTAACCTTTTATGCAGTATACATTACCTTAATTTTTCAACATCACAGATACATAAAAGTTACCCTCCAGGATGAGAATAAACGTCATTTGAACTTGCGGTTTCCTTGTCACATTGGAACTAAGAGTTTTTTTATGGACAGTACAGACATTGTCCTTCTTATCAACCTCAAAAGATTCAAGATTGATTCCCAATACATGCTTCCTTCCTAAATATCCCACTGGAGATCTGTAAGGTTTACCTTGATTTTCTTCTACTTCTCAGTTTCATTATGTAATATTTATATTTTTCTTAGGTTTGTCTTTTTCAAAGATTTTTTTAATTTTTTGCCACTTGAACCATATATACTTCACAATTTTCTAGTTTTCTATTATTTCATCTAAAGACTTTTCTAGACACTCGTCTTACATACTTCAGTCTGCCTTCATGTAGAGAAACTGTAAATTTTAGAAAGCCATCCATCAGCATTTTGTTTTAATTTTTATTGAGTGCCAACGCTGTAGGGTCTGAGCCACAGCTTTATACTGTTTGGTTCCAGGGCCCTTCCTGCTCATGTCTTTGCCAAGAGCAGGTACTGAATCGTGGCCTTCAGAGAACAGTCTGCAAGTATTTATTCCCTGGGACACAACAGTAACTGGTCAGAGTTCATCATCCTGTACCTATGGTAGAAATCATTTTCTCCCCTAAATACACAACCCTGTAATTTTTTTCTTCTGCCACGACTCTTGCTGAACTTATCTTCATCTGTGTGTCATTTCAGGGCTCTGACAACCAGTCAGCCCTCCTAATGTCACAGTTTTTAACTGCCTGCTTTATATAAGGCATTGCAGAACGTGATCTAGATATAACAAAAACTCTTAAGATGATGTCCCACCCCTGGAGAGCTTATAAGGGCACCATCTCACGTTATATTTTGCAGCAGACAAGGTACAAATATGTGGAAAGTTAAAGAAACAAAATACATGACAAAAAAGAGATAAGGGGGCTTCCCTGGTGGCGCAGTGGTTGAGAGTCCGCCTGCCGATGCAGGGGACACGGGTTCGTGCCCCGGTCCGGGAAGATCCCACATGCCACGGAGCGGCTGGGCCCGTGAGCCATGGCTGCTGAGCCTCTGCGTCCGGAGCCTGTGCTCCGCAACGGGAGAGGCCACAACAGTGAGAGGCCCGCGTATCGCAAAAAAAAAAAAAAAAAAAAAAAAAAAGAGATAAAATTCTTTAGAAAAAATAACTGGCCATGTACTAAAATAGAATCCATATGAATGGTTGTGAAAAGGGGAAGGAGAGAGGTTTGAATTAGAAACGGTAGGAGCCTCTGTAACCTCTGTAACTGAGATTTCATTCTACATTCTTTCTTGAAGTTATTTCTAAAAGCATGAAAAGAGGTCCAGTTACAGAGAATACGATAGACTACTACATAGCCACTAAAAATAATACTGTTGAATTGTTACAAAAGAAAAATTTTTATGATTCACTGCTTCCTGAAAGGGTTACAAAAAGATTACAAGGATCAGAATATGTCATTTTTTGCAAAGAGAAATATGTATGCATATCTAGTCAAAGAAAAGGAAGGGCAGTAATAAATACAATAGTAATTTCTGAGAGATGGGATGACAGGTGGTGTTATTTTATAACAACAGGCTATATATTTCAGCTGGCAGCATCTCAGTTTCATCCAAGGGCTCTTAAGAGAGAACTATTTGAGTCTCGTGACTTCTCTGTTAAAATGCTTGATGGGGGTAGAAGACACTAGCCACTTAACCGCCATCTGACCCATTTATTTGAATTTTAAGATCAAAATCAAACAAGTATCTCCGACAAAGTCTGTGCCTGTTATACTGTTTTGCACTGCCATCTTCAATGAATTGTGTCCGTGATTCTCTAGCTGTGTTTCTGCTGACACTGAGGCCTCATTCCTCTTTGGGGATGTCATCTAAGTTTACGCTTGACTTGCAATTCTCTTCTTTGACAAGCAAGTTTCACAAGGTGCCCCGATTACCCACGTTACAAGCTTTCTACTTGGGAGGACTCTCAGGATGCTTTTCTTTTCTGCAACTATTCATACGTTTATACTGTATTTCATCAATTCTATGACAAACACTCTTTCATGTTTTAACACCTCTGAAACTAGACTATGTTATATAATCCACAGCATCATAATTTTTTGGCAGCATATTCTTTTGCTGATAAACACTGGTGTGTCTGATAATCAACAGTGTCTTATGCCTGATGAAAAACAGTGTATAAATTGCTATTTATTTCAGTCAGATTAATAAAGTGGGCAGATGAACCCAACCTATGTAAACAATGGCAAAGAAAAGAAATTCTTGAGTTAACAGAGAGTTTTCACTTTTCACTGTAGCTTAATTTTGAATTGATAGTTCACAGGCCATACCAAACTTGCTCTAAAGGTAATGAAAGCTGAAACAATGAATTCAAGCAAAGATCAATAGTCAAGTATCCTAAAACTGACTCTGTCCAAAGTAAACTTCATCATTCATTAGTGCATTATTCAAAGTTTATAATTCAGTGAGCTTCATATGAAGAGAATGTGACTAGTTAAGAGTTTACCTGGATGAGAAAGGAATGTATTTCCTCTTTTCATCCAATAGTCTTATTCACTAGTAAAACATTTTTCCCTGATAACTTCTTCAGAACTAACCTTAAATGCAGCTTCCAGACCATTGCAGTTAAAGAAAGCTTCACAAAGAATTGTCCCGAGCCTTCTTTCAAAATCCAAAGTTTTGGACTTAAACACAACATAATCATTTTCAAATTCCTATAAAATTCAAAATAAAATATTAGTTTACAGGAAAGAATCCAACAGTGAAAATATCAACCACAAAAGTGTGACACCTCTCTCTCTGTGAATGAATTTATTTTTCATAGGATTCCAGGAAAGACAAAGAAAGAGCTGTACCTGACTAATTATTCAAGTGGCAGCCTTATAGGCGCACTGAACATTTAGCACTTTCAGCTCACATTCCCACAATCTTTTTCACTGGCTCAGACCCCAACATTAGTACTGTGGCCTATCACTCTATCCTTCTCCATACTATTTTGATTATAAATGAAAAAGCAAAGCTTTTCAGAAAAGAAAAAGGAAAAAAATAGAACCCGTCTTATAACTTTAGTCCATCTATAAGTTTAAACAGGAAGTTTTTTATTTCGTTTTTCATGGAGCAGAAACCCTGCCAGGAAACACTATTTCTTCAAGTGAGAACTAAAATCCACAGGTCTGTCTGTAAGAAAGCATCATTAGTGATACAGACAAAAGATAATACTCTTCCTACTTTCCCAGTTTCTTATTAATATGCAGTTAACAACCCCGAGTTTTCTCGTAATACATAAACACCCACTCCCATAATTACGAAGAATGAAACAGTGAAAGAGTAACCATCATCTGCACAGCATTACAATTCAGTCTTCAGTGAAGTCCCAGAAATTCAGAAACACTTTGGGCTTCCCAGTCAAACCGCCCCAGGAGTGCACGCCACACACTTAACATAAAGAAGTCCTCTGTTACCACCATAAACTGAGCCTCCTCTTATTGATAATAATGATGACAGCTAACATCTATTCAATTCTATTCTAAATGCTTTACATTATTAACTCAATTCTAACCACATGATGTAGGTAATATTTCTCCATTTTGTAGGCAACAAAGTAAACTCAAAGAAGTTTAATGCCCACAGTCTTACCCCTACTTAATGGCAGGGCCAGAATTTAAAGCCAGGTAACCTGGCTCCAAAGTCCACACTCCAAGCATGATTCTGGATGTTTGTATGAAGGAATGCACCTTATGCTGAATTGAACACACACTATAAAACAGTGTAACGGCAAAGTTCTAGAGCACTATGTGTCATATACAACAATGTCATCTTTAGCATCAAGAGGAAGTCTCCACTTATGAAGTAGGGCCAAACGGTCTCTTCATTCAAGGCTCACTGACTTTTAAAAGTAAACACAAATGCCCAACAAGTTGTAAACAAGCCTAACTTACTCTTCTACTCATGTGGCAACAAAGAACATACCACTTAAGATTCTCAAAGATTATTTGAACAATCAGCAAATAAGATCTCAGGGAGGAAACAAACGTTCATTTCCATAATTGATATCTCTCCTAACCTCTTTTTTGTCACTCAACCTGAATTCAGAACTGCTGATAGAACTTCTCCCCTAGGAAGTCCCACAGATAATTGAAATTTATTTTATACAAATCAGAACTTATCATCCTCTCCATAAAGCCACACCTCATTCTGTAAACCCTAACAGAAACTTTGGCAATCTCTTTCACTTCTTCCTCTCTCGGTCAACTGCTGTCAATCTTTTCTCCTAACTACCTATTCTTCATTAGTCCAGGCATCACCCTCCAGATCACCATTACCATTTAGCTGGATTTCTGTTAACAATTTTCTAACTACTCTCTTTGCCTTTAATCTCATCTCTCCCATCATTCTAACTGCAATCTAAATAAGCTTTCTAAAATAGAAATCTTATGTCACTCTCGTACTCACAGTTCACCATTATCTCAATTCAGAATCCTAATTTCTTAGGGTAAAGTCTAGAAGTCTTAACCTCACCTACAAGCCCTCTGTGATCTGGGCCCTACTTACTGCTCCCAACTATTCCAGTACCTCTCCACCTTTCATACGCTAGGATCTAGCCACACCTGCCTTATCATACTCATTCTCTGTGTGTAATACAATTTTCTGCTCATCACTTTCTTTTCACCTACTCCTCACTTGCTTCATTTTTTTTTTTTTTCAGTTCCATTTATCTTTCAAGTATTGTCTCAGTTTCCCTTTCACCTCCTCTGGAAAGGGGCCCTTCACAAATGATCCCATAGTACTCTGTACTTTTCATACCCTAGCACTAAGCACACTGTATAATTGCCAACCTGGATTCTCCCCCTGGATTTTAAACTATGAGTATAGTAGCCATGTGTATAAACTATGAGTATAGTAGCCATGACAGTGCCAATATTTAATGAGGTTCCCAGCACAGAGCTGTTTCTCAATACTTACTGAAGAATAAACAATATGCTGGTATTACTGAAAACCATTTTTTCTATACTGTAAAAACTCCAAAATTGCCCTTATTAGTGACGTGGGAAATTTTGAAGTTTTAGCTAGAGAAATGCCATGGTCTGATTTAGCTCCTAAAAGGCAATCAAGCTGCTGTGTGAAGAACAGACCCTGATGGAGCCAAGACAGGGGCTGAAGAAGAGGTTTAGGAGCAAATGCAATAACCCGGGTCAAAGATGAGATCCGGGTATATTTTCAGGGTTTATCTGATGTTTATCATAAGAAAAGAGCAAGATCATGGATGACCCCAAGGTTTTGTAATAAGTAGTACATTATATGGACTATTTAATGAGTTGGAGAAGACAAGGAAGAATAGGTATGGGGAGAGGTAAAGCAGGGGTTCAGTTTTGCATGTTGGTGACATCTATTAAGTATCTAAGTGGAGATCCTGAGTAGGCAGCCGAATATATGCTATGTGTTTGGGATTTAGGCAGGTCCCTTCCATTATGTAAAATATCCTTTAGGCTTTTGGTAGATACTCTATCAATTTGAGGAAGGTCCCCTCTATTCCTATTTCTAAGAGTTTTTATCATGAATGGATGTTGAATTTAGTCAAAAATTTAACGCATCGAAGTGTTTAAACTACTAAACTATCACAAAGGAGGCAAGAATATACAATGGAGAAAAGACAGTCTCTTCAAGAAGTGGTGCTAGAAAAACTGGACAGCTACATGTAAAAGAATGAAATTAAAACACTCCCTAACACCATATACAAAACTAAACTCAAAATGGATTAAAGACCTAAATGTAAGGCTGGAAACGTAAAACTCTTAAGAGTAAAACACAGGCAGAACACTCTGTGACATAAATCACAGCAGTATCTTTCTGGATCTACCTCCTAGAGTAATGAAAATAAAAACAAAAATAAACCAATGGGACCTAACTAAACTTAAAAGCTTTTGCACAGCAAACAAAACCATAAACAAAACAAAAAGACAACCCTCAGAACAGGAGAAAACATTTGCAAGCTACGGACAAGGGATTAATCTCCAAAATATACAAACGGCTCATACACCTCAGTACCAAAAAACCCCAAACAACCCAATTAAAAAATGGGCAGAAGATCTAAACAGGCATTTCTCCAAAGAAAACATGCAGATGGCCAAAAAAGCACATGAAAAGATGTTCAATGTCACTAATTATTAGAGAAATGCAAATCAAAACTGCAATGATGTATCACCTCACACAGGTCAGAATGGCCATCATCAAAAAATCTACAAACAATAAATGCTGGAAAGGGTGTGGAGAAAAGGGAAAACACTCCTACACTATTGGTGGGAATGTAAATTGGTACAACCATTATGGAGGACAGTAGGGAGGTTCCTTACAAAACTAAAAATTGAACTACCATATGATTCAGCAATCCCAACTCCTGGGCATATATCCAGAGAAAACCACAATTCAAAAAGACACATGCACCCCAATGTTCACTGCAGCACTATTTACAATGGCCAAGACATGGAAGCAACCGAAACGTCCATTGACAGAGGAATGGATAAAGATGTGGTACACATATACAATGGAATATTACTCAGCCATAAAAAAGAATGAAATAACGCCATTTGCAGCAACATGGATGGATGTGGATACCATCACACTAAGTCAGACAGAGAAAGACAAATTATCATATGGTATCATTTATATATGAAATTTAATTTTAAAAAATGATACAGATGGGGAATTCCCTGGCAGTCCAGTGGTTAGGACTCTGTGCTTCCACTGCAGGGGGCACAGGTTTGATCCCTGGTCAGGGAACAAAGATCTTGCATACTATGCAGTGTGGCCCAAAAAAAAAAAAAGATACAAATGAACTTATTTACAGATCAGAAACAGACTCACAGATTTTGAAATCAAACTTGTGGTTACCAAAGGTGAAACGTGGAGGGAAGTGATAAATTAGGAGATTGGGATTGACATATACATGCTACTATGTGTAAAACAGATAACTAATAGGAACCCACTGTATAGCACAGGGAACTCTACTCAATATTTCATAATAACCTATATGGGAAAAGAATCTGAAAAACAATAGATATAAATATGTATAACTGATTCATTTTGCTGTACACCTGAAACACATTGTAAATCAACTATACTCCAGTAAAAAATTTTAATGCGATTAACACAATTATGATATTTCTCTTTCACCTGTTAATATTGGGATTACACTGATTTTCAAATATTGAACCAGCCTTGCATCCCTAGAACAAACCCCCTATGGACATGGTGTAGAATTCTTTTTGTATACTGTGGAATTCTATTTGCTAATAATTTAAGGATTTTGTACCTATGTTTATGAGGGATAAGAGCTTGCACTTTTCACTTCTTTGCACTGTCTTAGCTGGTTTTGGCAGCAGAGTAAAACCTACTAGCTTTGTAAAACAAATGGGAAAGTGTTATCTTCACTTGTATTTCTGGAAGAGACTGTGTAGAACTGGTGTCACAGGTATAACTTGGTGACATTGAAGGTTGGGTTCCAGAACACTGAAATGAAGTGGTTACCACAATAAAGCAAGTCACATGAATTTTTTTTGTTTCCCAGTGTGTATAAGAGTTATATTTACACTATACTGTAGCCTATTAAATGCACAATAGCATTATGTCTAAAAAATGTATATACCTTAATTGAAAAATACTTTATTACTAAAAAATATTATCAATCTTCTGAGCCTTCAGTAAGTCACAGTAATAA